GGACAGGGACAGGGACAGGGATGGGACAGGGACAGGGTCAGGGACAGGGACAGGGACAGTCCCCGAGGTGGCTCCTGCATCCCTGTCCTGTCCCTAAGCCCAGCTCCCGTCCCGGTTTCCCTCCACATTCCCAGCTGTGCCCTGCTCTGAGGGCCACCACTGCCACCGGGACATCTGATGTCACCTGGGGGATCAGCTCTAGCCCCAGGGTGGCATTGCCATCCCCACTTGGGGACAGTTAAAATCCCTGAGGAGCTTCCCCAGGCGGTGACACAAAGGGTGAGGGTGGCCCTGGATGGGGACAGGCAGGGAGCAGCCCCGCTGTCGCAGGGTGACACTGCCTGTGCCGGGTTGTTACTCAAAGTGCCACCACCCCAGTGCCATCGCCGCACCTCTGCCTGTTCCTGCGGGGACTTTCCCCCTAAAAACCCCCAAAACTTCTCAGGTCTGTTTTTGGGGCCAGCTCTCAGGGCAGGGGACACTGCCAGCCCTGGGCCTTGCTCTGCAGCTCTATCTGGGCATCTTTCTCCTCCTGTGATTCCTAGGCATTTGCCTGTTAATTATTAATTATTAATTACAGCCAGCACTGAGCCCCCAGCCTTGGCTGCTCCGTCCCTGCAGGGACAGCTCCAGGAGGGGACGGCAGGACATCCAGGGGCTCCAAAATCACCCCAAAAACCAGGAGGGGATATCCAGGGATTCCATAATCACCCCAAAACTGTGAGAGGACACTGGGATATCCGGGGACTCCATAATCACCCCAAAACAGGAGGGAATATTCAGGGAGTCCACAGTCACCCCAAAGCTGTGAGGGGACACTGGGACACACAGTGGCTCCACAACCACCCCAAGCTCCCTCTGCAGCTGCCAGGGAGAGCCCTGCATTTAGGGAATGTAGATTGGAGACCTCGAGTGGGGTTTGCCCCATGAGCTGCCAGGTTGGAGCGGCTCTGCTGGGAATTCTGGGCTCCATTGTGCCAGAGGAACCCAGGGAAGCGCCTTCCCAGCCCAGGCTGCTCCCAAGGCAGGGGAAGTGACCTGGTGACACCAGTGAAGTCATGCCCAACCCAGCAGGACACAGCACGGTGCCCCCAGCTCGTCCCATTGCCAGCACACATCNCTGGGCTGGGCCTGGACTGGCACAGAACGGGTGAGCAGCCAAAGCCAGCCCTGTTCCAGCTGCCACTGCTGCCAGCTGCCACTGCCATGGCTCCAGTGACACTGGGATGACGCTCGAGGCCATCCCCAAATCTCCAGTCAGGACCAGGATCCCAATTATCCATCATTAATTGACCACACTGAGGTTTCAGGAGACCTTTCCTGCTCTGCTGGTGCCAGACCCTGTCCCAGGAGCCTGAGCAGAGTCTCCATCCCTGGGGATCCCACCCTGACCCACCCCACAGTTCTGGCTCCAGCGCTGGCAGCAGGGGCTGGGCTGGGCTCAGGGCCAGGACTGGGGACAGGGCAACACAGCCAGGGGCACTTTGGGATGCTGGGGGCACTCACAGGGACAGGGGTCACGGAGGGGGGTGGGATGGCACAGGCGGGGATGGGGATGGCACAGGCAGGGATGCAGGGATGCAGGATATGGGATGCAGGATGGGGGATGGCCGTGGTGAGGGATGCAGGATGCTGCAAACAGGGTTATGGGATGGGATGTGGGATGCTGCAAGCAGGGTTATGGGATGCTCCATCTGGGAATGAGGGGCGCTGCAGGCCGTGGTGAGGGACACTGCAGGTGGGATGGTGCAGGCAGGGCTGCAGGATGGGATGCAGGATGCTGCAGGATGCTGCAGTCAGGGTTATGGGACGTGGGATGCTGCCGGTGGGATGCAGGATGTGGCAGTTGGGATGGTGAGGGCTGCTGCAGCTGGGATGCTG